TTCATTGGCTGTATTTGAGGGCTGTACATCCATAGTAACACTTTTTTCTCTGAGGGTTTGCAGTGAACATTTTTAGTCATAAAACCTATATATGAAAAGCACATTTTTAAATATGCAGTCCTTTTTCTGACTCTTCAACTTGTCAAGAGCTCTAATGCCATATTTTCCTCTCACTGAGAAGCATCCTTTTGTTGGAGCTTAACATTAGCACAGGTGAAGTGAGCCACAGGCACTGCTTCTGCCACAGGCCAGGCAGCAAGTCTCACCCAGGCTGACAGTCTGGCTCCAAGCATCTGGTCCCCAGCCATGCAGGGTCTCAGGGTGTGTGTGTCCCACCCATGGCATGCCACCGTGTCACTGGGAGTGAGCACTGCATCTGCCATGCGGCTGGGCAGCAGCCCTTCTGGCCCAATTGCTGCTGTCTCTGTTGACTAATGGGAGCAGGGTGGGTTACTGGCTTTGCAGGCTTGGCTAGTGCTCCCAGGCTACCCCTGGTGGTGCCGAGGAGCACTAACCAAGCTCACAAAGCCTATGGGACAGTGGCAGAATCACCAGAAATTTGACCAGCATACAGAAGGTATTTAAAGTGCTGTAAAATACAGCGCTTCAAATTTAATACCTCATTTAACAAGGGTTAAATTAAGGTGCTGTAAAGCCAAGCACTTCTGTTAAGTCACGGCAATAAAGCACATGAAATGGTGAAAAAAGCAACTTCTGTACATGCCTGTTGACTTCAGGATGCCATAAAGAAGTTTGAAGACCGTAAATTCTGCGGTAACTTGTTTTTGTACCCTGTCTAGATAGAACAGTCGACTTCTTAAACTTATGAACTCTCTGTATACATGTTAGATCCCACTTTTGAAGGTAAGCCAGAATTCCAAATCTGAACTTCAGTGGGGATCATAGCAAAGACACAGGTCAGCTGGTAGGGAAATATGATCACCTGATGTATCTGTTAGGGATCTAGCTTGCTAAAATGGATGAAAGCTAATAAAAGAGTGTGCTTTACATCAGTCATTTTAGTAAAAGGCTTACCTGGAGAGGGAGACAGAGAGACACTTGCACACCCATACACTTGCATTATCTTCTCTCTCTCTCTCTCTCTCTCTCTCTCTCTCTCTCTCTCTCTCCGCCCCCATGTTTCAGAGGAGAAGCAGAAATCATAAGTTGCAGGAAAAATATCATGGACTCCTTAAAAGACTCTGGTCTAAACCCACAGCAGAGGCATATTTAGACACTTTTGTGCCTGGGCAGTGGTGGCACATAGGGCAGCGTCAGTGGCTGTGCTGCTGGTAGCAGTGATGGTGGTTGGGTCAACAATGCAGTGGCTGTAATTTTTGCACCCCCATATGGCTCCCCCCCACCCTTACATCACTGGACCACAATGGGCCAGGGTTGTGAGGCAAATGAGGCAGTACATGCGTGTGGGTTTATTATTTTGTCTGGCTCTATGCATCTTCTGTGTTATCCAAAGGGAAGACTAATTGTATTTAGAAACTTTGGCAAACCCTGCGTGCCTGTTGCTTTGCTATCATGGACCCTTAGAGAGGCAATCTTAAAAGCCTGAGTGCAATTCTGGGAGAGCATGTATTTAAGCTGTTGGAGACTTTTAATGGACAGACAGAAGTGACAATGTTTGCCTGATCTGGTCCCTAATAGTGCTCTTCAGCTGTGACCAAGCACAAGTGCATGGCTTCAGAGTGCTTTAAAAGGGCCCGATCCTATGACAGTTGCATGAGGGTTCAGGTGAGGACTCTCCAAAACAGAGCCCCTTCAGTAACTTGTGTCTGTGCGGGCCGAAAGCAGAGCCAGGCTGACACAGCTCACCCGTGCTCCCAGTGTTGTCTTCAGAATGGGAGGGAGAAAGGGAATGGAGGGATTTTGGTTTGGGGGGGTTTAAGCTGGCGCTGAAGGATGGGGTGGGTGGACTGGAGCCTCCCCCCCACCTTGTTCCTAACCAAGGTATCAAGCCTGAGGGGGGTCCACCCAACCCACCCTTCAGCACTGGCTGGGCAACCCCCAGAACAAGCTCCCTCTGCTCCCTTTCCCCCTTCCCATTCTGAAAACAGTGCCAAGGCTGGGAGGAGGGAGGGGAATTGCTAAGGGAGAGTGGCTACAGTTTTGCAGCCACTTTAAACAGCAGTGAACATCTGTTGGGCCTCAGGGATCATTGTAACTCATGGGGCTTCCTGTGAAGCGCTATGAGTTACAGTGGGGAGCTGCTCTTCTCTCTGTGCCTTTAAGGACAGTATGGGCCAGGGTCAGGTACAAGGCAGTTGGGTGCCAAAGTCTCATATCTGTGAAGTAGTAATGGATAGAGTCATCATTACAACCTGTTCAAGTCAAAGAACGCTTAAGAGAACATGGGTCCAGTGTCTCAGGACCCAAATGCAGTGGCTCGGTGAGTGCCCAGCTAGGGGGAGTTCTCTCATGGTTGTCTGATTTCCCTAGCAGTCCCTTCAGCTGCTTTTTCTCAAATACAAGGAGAAGAGAGTGTGACCATTGGTACTAATCAATCACTGAAGCTACAGTTAGAAAAATAATCAGCTGTAGGAGCAATGGCATTTAGCAATGCTTGCAAGCTCCCATAGGTTGCCGGATAAAGATCCCCACACAACAGCCATATTTGTGCAAGTCCTGACATAGGCTACTGTTGGGGGCATTACCTTACATTGTGTCTCCCTGCCTACTTGACCCTATTGTTGCTTCCAGCTTGCTGCAGGGATCTGTTCTCTGCTTCTGGATCCTGTTTTTGATCCTCCTATATTTCTCCAGCTGCACATTAGTGAATGCAATTGCACTAATATCAATGGGAGTTTGAAAACTAAAAGTAATGTGTGCTTTGGTATGCTACTAATCCACTTAGTTGGATCCTCTTACTGCTCCTCTGGGCTGCCCTGATTCCTTCTATCAGCCCACCCAGCTGTTCTGATCTGCTCTCAACTTCCACTGCTGCTCTATTAGCATCCCTGTCAGTGCACAAGGCCGCTGCCTTGACTCCCTCAATCCTTATTCCCAATGAGAGGCTCTGTACTAAATTATAATCCTCATGGCATGGAGCACAGATGTGAACAAAAATACATTCATGAAAAAGTTGCAGTGGTGCCTGTCAGAAGCTGTATTTCCTAAGTATTTTCAAATGGTGCTTAATACAGTATTTAGCCCACTGGAATGGTTTAGGCTTCATCCACGCCACCTGCCTGTTTACCGGGGTTTAAAAAAAAAATCCAATCTTACCCCCACCAACAGAGTGCATCCAAAACAAATACTCAGAAATGCCTCTTTAAGATAAAGACTGTGAATTTAATATCTTGGTCAGGCCAGTGATTGACAAGCCTGGGGAATGATGCCCTCATTCATCTAGGGGATGTCTACCAGAGCACTTTCATTACAGTGGCTCTGCCTTGATTTACCTTTTGGGAGGAGCAGAAAGTCTAGTCTCACCAAAACCCAATCAGTCCGTGACCTTCCTGCTGAGGTAGCCAATAACATTGTCATCTGAGACTGTGGGTTTTTTTGCAAGATAGATCTAGTGGGAAACAAGCCAACACTTTCTGATAGTGATAATTTGGTAGCAGCTTTCAATGATTATCATCCCAGGGATTAAATAAACCAGTGATCTTGATCTTTGAACCAATGATAAAGGTAGTGACCCATCTACAACTATTTCATTTCAAGACTCAGTAAAAGGTATATAGAAGAATAGAAGAAAGCCTACTAAGAGATATCACATCTACCCAAAGAACCTTGCCTACTAAGAAATTTTTTTTTTTAATATTTGATTTGGTATTTGGTATATTCGGTTTATTCAGCTAAAGTCCACTTAAGTTCCAAATCAGTGTTTATATATAAGCCAAAGCTTCATTTCGCCCCCGAAGATATGCAGATCTACCAGGCTACTTTCTTCCTCCAAGCAGGGAAAACATTAAGAGCATATAGAACATGCCCCTTTAGTGCTCAGTCTGGACACCTGGCTCAATAGTAGACTCCCAGCATCTTGGAGGAGCAATTGCTTGGATGACCCTTGGGATGGAGCATGCTCAGATGCTGAGTAAGGATAACAATACTCAGCCCAGGCCCATGCAGGAAATATGAGGAGGGGAATATGTTCAGGGCAGATAGAATCTTCCGAGAGCTGAACTTAAACTTGAAAGCATTCTACTGTGCCTGTCTAAACAGATTATTTGGAGGGTTTCTTCAGATTCTTCACAAAGAGGTACTTCAATAGGCACATCCCTGACATCAGGGTGACTTTCCTGTCAAATTTCAACAACTTGATCCACAGTCTCGCAGTTTCAGAGTCTTAACAAAAATTGTTTTTTAACATGGACAAACCAATGTATCCTGTTTTTGAAATGGCTGGATAATTTTAGCTGAAACTTTAAAAAAATAACCTGAAGTAAATCTAGAGTACGGGAAATTTCAGTCAAAACAGTTAATGATTACCCTGAATACAGGTTCTTATAAAGCGAAGTTTTGCATAATCATAACTCCTGGATGACAATACCAGAGTCTGCAATAAATTACTGTAGGTACATGAGAGAGGGTCTGATGCCTCCCTCCCACCCACCCCCGTGATAAACTGAAGTACCGTGTGAATAAACAGATGTAAACAGGAGCATAACATTTTGGGGGGCTGGGCAATCTAATACCCACCAAAATGTAAGTATTACTTTAATAAATAAAAGAAACAATGAAGAGAAGCTCATTTTGTTAGAAGTGGGCAAATTTGTTGGGGTACATACTGATCTCATTAAACGACTATTTTTTTCAAATATGAGTAAAAAGAACAATTTGCAAATCTGATAAAGTTTCAAACTCTGCCTGTAACATCTGTAAGCTGTGAATCAGCAGTGTTATCCTTGTATCCGTGTGGAATCAAACACTGGTTGAACTGTGAATGTCTCATCTTTTACTTCTAAAGAGAGCAGTGAAATTATACTTACATCTGGACTGATCTCAGTGATTGTTCTGATATCCAATTACTGATTTTTCTGTAGATGAGTAATCAATTGTGGAAGGAATTGGAATCAAGCACTTTCATTTCTATGAAAGTTGGGGCTGTATCAAGATTTTGGATGAACCTCATAGAACAAAGTGCAATTTATGGGAGATTGGCCTCCTCTTGTTGAAATGCCTGATCCTTGCAGAGTTTTGGATGGATTCTGCCACGTTTAGGACTCTTCAGCCTTGTTCAGTACAAAAGAGGAAGTTATAGCTTGCCATTTGAATTGCTACACTGCCAAAGCAGCTCTCATTTCAGTTTCTTAATACATTGTTTGCAACCTCCCAAATTGCACAGAATGAAAGGTAGTTCTCAGAAACTGAAGCCTACACTTCTGCTTTCTGTTGGACAGATGTCATGGATACCTGATGATGTACTTACCACTTTGTATTTTACATCCTGAAATAAAGCTTCTCACTTGAGCAGTTTTTAATTAATTTTGTGATTTTTGTAAACAGTTTCAAGTATATCTCTTAGGATGATATTCTTAGTGGCATCCTTGCATGCTCAATTCAGAGTAGGCCCATAGCAACGAGTGTAAGTAGCTCTTGGTTCCTTCTGTTACAATCTGATTGCTTCATGTGATACTAAGTCTGCTGCATTATAGGCAACCAACTTAGCATTGTCTGTGATGGTTGTTTATCCTCAGGTTTAGTTGCAATAGTATATACTGCCATGTTTTGACTTGAATGGCTAGCCAAAAATCAGGCTCTTGGAGTTTGTTCCAAGCAGCAAGAAAAACTGGTAATAGAGTCGGGTATTTCTTTGTAACTGGGGTTGTTTATAACACACAAAGTCCTGTTTCTCTAAACACAGGAGGAATCAAACATCAGGAGATACTTTCCTTATTTACAAACCTAAGTCTCAGCCAGTCACTGACCCAAATACTCTTCTCTTATGGCTGTGCTATCGCTACTTCGATGGCTGTGCCTGCCTTTCTGCTTCTTCTGTCCCCTTCTGTGAGGCTTCTGCTATTTGTCCTTTCCTACCCTAATACCCAGCTTGAAATCATTTCCAGCAAAACCCCTCTGACTGGGTATTCCTGAGGGATCCCCTATGTACCTTTGCTTTGGGCAGTGACATGTGGTTTGCATATCCCTACTATTTTATAGAGGACTAACTCGCACTTTCTTACAGCTATCTTAAATAAAGGATAGCAGTTTCACTAGCCAACTTAGTGATCTTTTGTCCAGTCCACAACATCTGTAGTTATTCATATCATTATCTCAACCAGTGGATAAGCTACATTGTCAGTCCGGTGAACTCTTCATGAACATAGCATCTATTGTAACTGGATTTTGAGAATTTGTCTTTGCTTTTTGTCAGCCCTTTTGAAATATCAGGATTATTTTCTGCCGGCAGGCAAAATAGACAAGTAAAGTATAGTCAACCTCTTCTCTTGAGGGCATATTTTCAGCTTGCTCAGTGTAAGGCCTTACTGTTCAAGTCCCTGTGTGGTAAGGTAACATATTCTGACTGTCATTTTTATTAGGATCTCCCTGTTTTCCCATTTATTCTCAGAGTATTAAGAACCAGCAACATATCTGTAGGGACTGGTTATGTATTTTGCATTAAGGAGTCATTGGATAACATGCATGAGTTGCATTGGAGCAAGGCCCAGAACCCGAGATAACACCTCTGAAGGGAAGTGTCCCTGTCACAAGGCTGTGAAGTCATTTGCTTACCTTCATTCCTACCCCATTAATGTTGCATTCCTTTCTCCTGAGTGGCCCACTTTCTACAAGAGGGAGAGAGCATGTGTTCAACCCGAGCTTAGCCTATAGCCTAGGATAATGGAAACGTGAGAACTGGTTCTGAATTTCTCTGGCTGTGGTGGGAATTAAACTCAGGTCTCCCACCTTCTGGGCAACTGCTATAACCAATAGATTCTTATATACAAGGTGACTGCCATTAGGTGTGGTTTTGAGTCAGAGAAACTCTTGGTGCAGTGATTTGTGCTAATCTCATTGCTCTTGGTATATATTATGGGTGGTCTGAATATGACAACTTGACTTGGTCTCTCTGGGTAATTAGGTGCAGGAACGGCTGGTGGGATCTAGGTACCCACATACTCAGCCCAGACAAGATGGCAGCAGTTTCAGGCATGCAGTAGCAGAATTTTAGGAGCCGACCTAACTAAAGTCAGAGTTGGTAACCTACAGCTCACAGGCTGGATCTATCTTGCAAAATAATTTTATCTGGCCCACAAAGATGGGGTGTAAGTAGCAATCCAGCGATGATGAAAGCAGTAGGAGCAGGAAGTGAGTCAGAAGCAATGGAGGGATGTCAGCAAAGGAAACGGGGGCCCACCTTTGGAGCTTTTAGCTGCTGACAAAAGATTGCTGACCCCTGACTTAAGCATTGAAAACATAAGCATCTTTGGGTTTCAGGCACCTGAGTGGTTGGACATACGTTTTGTGGATTGCTCACTTGGACTTATGTGCCTAAGCTCCTCTATAGGCACCTACCTTCAGTTTTGGATGTGGCCCTATATTCTTTGTAGGCCAGATAGAAGCAGAGAACAGTCTACACTAGGTCATTTTATTACATTGGAAAATATTTCCTTTTATTTTTTTGTTTATGGCTTTTCCTCTCACTGCCAGCCTCTAACAAAGAAAGAAAACAAGCAGGAAGATGGCAGAGGGACCTGTCGTCTGAGCTCTCCTTTGCAGGAAACTGTATCTTTGCTGTGGCTTGAGCCAGTTGGGACTGGCTGTTATGTTCTGCAGAGGTTCCTGTTAACAATGCTGATCACAGAACTAAGATGTTAAATGAAACTGGCATCTGTCCGATGAAACCAAGACAATGTCCTGTGTGGTAATATGGAGTATTTAAAAGTCCCACCAGAGGAGTCAACTGGAGAGGACAACTGGAGCAAACTCACCCAGTGGCAGGCTGTCAGAAAGTAGCCTCGTGTCTGACAACAGCTGATTCAGAGGCAGCTGATATTTTTAAGTTTTCAGCTAAACTTGGCGGGGAAAGTCAGCTATGAAGCTGTTCTTGGAAATACGAGGAGAGCTGCGCTCCACAAAAAAAGACACACCTGACATGTTCTTAACCAGAAAATAAACATGGAATTCTAGAAGGATTCCTGAATGAGCTGAGATGGAAAAACCAGGATTGCATTTATGAGGGGAGGGAGTTATTTGGGTCCTGAGAAGAGACCAGAGGCACGTCTTGTAGTCTCCTGAGAGCTCCTCCAAGACTTGCATCCCTACCTTACCCCTTTCAGCTCCACATTCACCAGCGCCGAAAATGCCGTGGTGAGGCTGTCCCATGGGCTGCCCCTGCCACTGCTCTTTGAGGGCTGTGCCACTGGCATGCTTGAAAGCGACACCTGGGGGTGCTCTCAGGACAGCTTCCTGTCTCACCTCCAGGAGCAGGTGAGTAAAAATGTGAGGAAGAGGATTTGGCATACTGTAGGTTATTACAGCTAACAAAACACTTGGATTGGTGGAAGATCTAGAATTGACTGTTGACGAAGTAAGTGCCGAGCAAAGGCGGTCACCCAGTCCAAACAGGATGGACAGTATAGAGAGTTTGTTCTTGAAGCAGGATAAGGAGGTAAAAGAGGATGATTGTGGATAAACTCAATTTGTCTGTAGGTAGGAGAAAACTATCCACCAGAGGAATGAATGTTATTTTCATAGCATGTCCGAACCTGAAGACTTGACTAAAAAGCATTGAGGTGACCAGTAGAGACAGGGCGTTGGAAACGACAGGGCTGGGATCAGTGTTTTAAATCACTTAAGCAATTTGGGGAGGGGGTTGATTTTTTCCCATAGCAAGTCAAACATCATGACATGCTGATCGGGTATCAAAAGGGTTTCACGAGTGAATTCAGGATTGTGAAGATGAGGCTATTCTGGGAACACCTGTGCGGTCCTGAAAGACAGACCCACGGAACATGCTGTGTTGCCCTGAAGGGGACACAGCAGTAGGGGGGCAATTCCCCTGGTGCCAAGGTGCCCACACCAGTTCTGGGCAGTGGCCTGGCGTGGCTGGTTTGCTGTATTGGTCCAGCCCCGGTGACTGGGCTCGCAATGACCCTTGGCCTCCAGATGCTCCGTCCCCAGCCCCAAAGGGTTGTGGGACCCAGGAAAGGGTGTGGGGACTGCACTCTGCCCCCCTGCCCGTTGCAGGGACAGAAGGTGCTGGGGGGACTGAGGCTGATGGAGCCTGCAGCCAAGGTGTATTCCCATGGGGGTGCTAACACCCCACCTCGTGGCATTAGCAGGGACTGGCGCATGCGCATACCCGCGGGCGGCGTGGCGGTGCAATGCCGCGGGGGACGCCAGGGGGCGCTGCAAGGCTCGCGCTCAGGCGCCGTCACCACTTCCTTCCTCCCTGCCGGAAGTGACGCGGGTTGTTTTCCTGCGTCTCTTCCGGCGGCGGCTGCGCGAGAGCGGGGCTATGGACATCCTGCGGGCAGAGATCCTCCGCAAGCGGCGGCTGCTGGAGGAGAAGGAGCTGGTTGGGGTGAGGCGGGCCGGGCACCGGCCGGCGGGGGGGAGCGGAGCCCTGCCGCTCTGCGCATGCGCCGCGAGGCCGCTCAGCGCGTGGCGGCTTTAAGTCGAGGGAGCGGGTCCTACGTCACAGAGTGGGGTCCCGCACCCCTCTCTGGGAACGAGTCCGGAGCGGTGCTGTCGGGGGGTACCGTAATTACCACCGTGGTCCCACGTACCACCAGTAGTGATAAAGGTGGTCGCCATGGACGATCGTTTCTTGAGACAATGGATGCAGCAAGTGCAAAACCCAAGTCATAGTTTCGTAGTTAG